AGCCTCTTACCTGGCGCCTCCTCGAGTACTGAGATTCACAGGCATGTTGCCACCACGCTGCCCTACATTTTTGTAAATTTTTTTCTAAAGTCAGAGACAGGAGTTTCTCCATATTGCTACGGGCTGGTCTCAGCACTCCGACACTCAGGTGATCTGCCCGCCTCCCAGCTTCCCCAACTAATGCTGAGAATTACAGGCCAGGAGGCACCACGGCCGCCCGCCCAGCTTTTTGGGAATCTTGTAGTCAGCAGACACGCCGGCGTTTCAACCTGCTTTACCAGGCTGGTCTTGGAACTCCTAGAATCCAGGTAAATCCACCCACGCTCAAGCCTCCCAAAGTGCTTGGCCCATTCACAGAGCGAGCCGCCATCGGAGCCCGGCCAATTTTTTTTTTTTTTCCAGACAGCGAGTCTTGCTCTGTCCTCGGCCAGGGCCTGGAAGGCAGTGGCCACGATCTTGAGGCGCTCACTTGGCAAAAGCTCTGCGGCCTCCCCGGATTCCGGCCAGTTCTCTGCCCTCAGCTCCCATAACTGGGCTACAGGCACTCACCACACCAACGCTGCGCTTAACTGTTTGTGCCTAGTTTTAGTTAGAGCAGGGTTTCACGCAATGTGCCAGGATGGTCGAGCTCCTGACCTCATCATCACACCCCACGCTCGGCCGGCTCCGAAAGTTTGGGATTACACGGGTGAGCCACTGTGCCCCTTTTTTCTTTTTTTTTTTTTTTTGAGACAGCGTCTCACTGTGTTGCCCAGGCTGGAGTGCAGTGGCATGGTCACAGTTCACTGCAGCCTGCAACACCGAGGCTTAAGTGATCCTCTAACCTCAGCCTCCTGAGTAGCTGGGAGTGTGGGAAATTACTTTTTAAAATATAAAACAGTATTTGAATTTTTGTCCTTAGGAACTATAAAGATTATACATGATTTGGAAATGAGACTGTAGCAAACAATGGCCAAAGAAGAGTCACCCATTCTATGCCTTCTCCTTTGTCTGGTCACTCAGAAATATCCTACTATCAGCTATTATTTTGGGAAACTGAGGACCAGAGAGACCAATAGGAGAACAGGAGGACTGTTTATTTAAGGTATGCACCGGCCCAGTGGATTCATATCTAAAAAGCTGAGCATTTTAACAAAGACAGAGCAGGGTTTTTATAAGCAGTCTTACAGAAGCAAAGCAAAAGCAGTTAATTACATGATAGGTCACATAATCTACAGCATAGCATAACTTGTGGCGTTGCATAGCTGGTGGCCTTGTAGCTGTATTGAAAGAAAAAAAAGAACTGGCTAAATACAGACATTTGTAAAACATAGTCATGCTTAAGAAGCTAGGGAAAGGAGTAATAGTAAAGGAATTTATCTTTCTTTCTTTTTTTCCTTCAACCTTGCTCTGGAGGGGAGGGGGGTCTGGAGCCCATTCCTTTGGCCTTGGCTTCTCAAACAGCATTATCTTATAACTGTCCTTGAAGTGAGCTTGCTAGGCAGAGGAAAATTTGTTCTTTTCTTTTAACCCTTGCCTTGCCTGTTACTTTTCTTGGAGTGAATGAATGCATATTTATTTTTAAATTTCTGCCTCACTATGATTGTTGTTGCTTATCACCTCCCATTATTTTTATCCATGTATTCACCATAGTCTACTTTTTCTTCTGCATAAATTCGAGACCCCTGGCTGGGTGCAGTGGGTCATGCCTGTAATCCCAGCACTTTGGGAGGCCAAGATGGGTGGATCACTTGGGGTCAGAAGTTTGAGACCAGCCTGGCCAACATGGCAAAACCCCATCTCTACTAAAAATACAAAAATTAGCTGGAAATGGTGGCGTGCACCTGTAATCCCAGCTACTCGGGAGGCTGAGGCATGGGAATCCCTTGAACCCAGGGGATGGTGGTTGCAGTGAGCCGAGATGGTGCCATTCTATTCCAGCCTGGGTGACAGATTGAGACTCCATCTCAAAATAAATAAATAAAAATAAAAATAAATTCCAGACTCCTTTTTCACTGATGTGCCACATCTCCAAGGCCTGGCTAGAATGCTGATATTCTGTGCCATGTCATCTTGACAGACATCACCCATTTGGCACACTTCCCTGTCCCCTGATCACCACATCTCATTTGCTGCTAGAGAAAATATTGTGCTGGAGTATTTCCTTCCGTCTGTCTCATGATAGGGTCCTAACCCACTTGACTGAGTAACTGCACACAATTCAGGGACATTTCGAGAAGCAAACTGCTAGCTGTTTTGGACTCATGCCTTACAAACTGATGAAGTACCTGTAATACAGGTCTTCGAAACATGGTTTCTATTTTCTTTCTTTTTTTTATTTTTTATTTTTGAAATGGAGTCTCTCTCTGTCGCCTAGGCTGGCATGGTCTCAGCTCACTGGAACCACCATCTCCCAGGTTCAAGTGATTCTTCTGCCTCAGCCTCCGAGTAGCTGGGATTACAGAGCACGCCACCATGCCCGGCTAATTTTTGAATTTTTAGTAGAGATGGGGGTTTCACCATATTGACCAGGCTGGTTTCGAACTCCTGACTCAAGTGACCTGCCTGCTTTGGCCTCCCAAAGTGCTGGGATTACAGGTGTGAGCCACCGCACCCAGCTGGTTTCTATTTTCTTACAGTCTAATCTTTAGACTTTTCCTGATGCTCTAGCCCAGACCTGTATCAACGAATATGTCACCTTTTTATTTATCTTGCTATCGTATTCTAAGCATGTTTTCATGTTCCTGAATAGTTTTCATAACAGTCATTTGCAATAACTGCAGAGCATTTCTGATTTGTTCTAAAAAGAAAAGCAATGAGGAAGAGTCAGAAAGTGGTTCTCCAGGGTGGAGTCTTGTGTCTTCTCTCCCCTCTCCCACTGTAGGAATTCCAGCTTATGGTTCCTGCTTGCATTGCTATCCACAAGGGGCACTAAGGAGAAACCCCACAGAAGAACTCCCAGGGCCTGTTGTGGGAGTGCAGGGGCATGTGAATGAGGACCTCTCTTCCCCTCTCCCGTGTGTCTGGTGGAGGGCTGCTCCTGGGGTCATTAGTTAGTGACCAGCACTTCCAGCCAGCCTAGCTGAGGGAGAGAACTCCCTCAAACAGAGGCCCTGGGGAGCTTGCAGGAGGCAGCTCTTGGGTCCAGAGGCCACTGAGAGAGTGACCACCCAAGGGGAAGTGGGCTGAGCACAGATAGTGTTCACCACAGTGACCAAAACCTGCCAAATGCTGCTCTTGTGGAATTTACATGGGGTGTCAGACAATAAATATAATTAAATATAAATAAGTAAATTGGCCGGGCGCAGTGGCTCATGCCTGTAATCCCAGCAGTTTGGGAGGCCGAGGTGGGCAGATCACCTGATGTCAGGAGTTTGAGACCAGCCTGGCCAACATGGTGAAACCCCCTCTCTACTAAGAATATAAAAATTAGGTAGGCATGGTGGCACGTGACTGTCATCCCAGCTACCCGGGAGGCTGAGGCAGGAGAATCACTTGAACCCAGGAGGCAGAGGTCTCAGTGAGCCGCTGAGATAGCACCACTGCACTCCAGCCTGGGCAACAGAGTGAGACTCTGTCTCGAAGAAAAAAAGTCAATTATGCTAGTCAAGTATGCTAGAAGGTGACATGTGCTACGGAATTAAAAGGAGGGCAGGGTAAGTGAGATGGGGAGTGGGGTTTGCAATTAACAAACAGATTAATTTTTTAAAACCAGTAAAAGGAAGAACTACATTATATGTCATAAAAAGAATGTAGCTGGCTGGGTGCGGTGGCTCAAGCCTGTAATCCCAGCACTTTGGGAGGCCGAGACGGGCGGATCATGAGGTCAGGAGATCGAGACCATCCTGGCTAACACGGTGAAACCCCGTCTCTACTAAAAAAAATACAAAAAACTAGCCGGGCGAGGTGGCGGGCGCCTGTAGTCCCAGCTGCTTGGGAGGCTGAGGCAGGAGAATGGCGTAAACCCGGGAGGCAGAGCTTGCAGTGAGCTGAGATCCGGCCACTGCACTCCAGCCTGGGCAACAGAGCAAGACTCCGTCTCAAAAAAAAAAAAAAAAGAATGTAGCTGCGTGCATTTTGGAAAAATTGGGGGGAAAATTCACTTTTTAAAAAAATTTTTTTATTTTTTATTTTTTGAGAGGGAGTCTTGCTCTGTCACCCAGGCTGGAGTGCAGTGGCGCGATCTTGGCTCACTGCAAGCTCCGCCTCCTGGGTTTACGCCATTCTCCTGCCTCAGCCTCCCGAGTAGCTGGGACTATAGGCGCCTGCCGCCGTAGTAGAGGCGGGGTTTCACCGTGTTAGCCAGGATGGTCAACGATCTCCTGACCTCCTGATCCTCCCGCCTCGGCCTCCCAAAGTGCTGGGATTACAGGCTTGAGCCACCGCGCCCGGCCTTTAAACCCATCACCCTAGCTGTAAACAGCATTTGAGTATATTTTCTTTAGATCTGCTTTTCCTCCTGTGCATTGGTTTTCTTGCGTGACTTTAGTCACAGTCCGCATCTAATTTTGTCTCTTGCTTTTTTGATTGCTATTTTAACCCAGCTCTTCTATCCCCAAGGCCCATGTGTTTCTCCTCTCCTCCTCCTAAAGTGCCTGCCAGGGAGGCTGAAGCTGATCTCTCTGTTTCTCTGGTTCCAGATGAGTACAGACAACTCCAGGAATCCAGTCTCTGTGGACTCCAGTTAGCTAAGGCCTGCCTGACAGCCAGGAGGACAGGGCCTGCTGAGAATAGTTGTTAATAATGAGCAACACAACATATGTCACATACATGCGATATGTGTTAGGCCCTTGGCAGATATCGACTTCCTTCCCTTGTATTGGTTCATTTGATGGAGGGTAGGTGAAGGTCATGACCAGCCGGCACCGCCTGGAGCTCCCTCTCCCACGTAGCTGTGGTCCGGGTGGGCTTCCTTAGCCTCAATCCAGCTGGCCTTTTCCCAGGATGCTTTCTCCCCACCTTCCTGTCAGCACTGATGCTAGCCTACAAAGCAGTCTCATCGCCAATTTCTCTTCTTTCAGGAGAGACTCTGTGGACTCCAAGTCTTCTGCCACCTCCTCTCCAAAAAGGCCATCAGTGGAAAGGTAAAGGAAGCCACAGCCTTCTCCATCCCAATGTCCTATTCAGCCTGTGTCCCCTTCTCTGTTTTTATGGAGGAAGCCTAAGGCAGAGGAAAGAGGGGAAGGAAGAAACGTCCTACGTTATGTTGCAATCCTAGCCTTACTTGGGAGCTGAGAGGCAAGGAGAATGGTGTGAACCTGGAAGTGGAGCTTGGCAGTGATGCTTGAGGGTCTGCCGCCCACTGCACGCCAGCCCTGGCTGCAGGAGCGAGACTCT